GGGGGGGGGGGGGGGGGGGGGGGGGGAGGCGAAAACGAAAGAGCAAGAGGTTAGCACGCGCATGATGGCGTGGGGAAAATCGAGAAAGAGGGAGGGAGAGAGAGAGAGAGAAAGAAAAAAGCCCAGCAGGGCAAGAGGAGCCCCCTCCGGAAAAAGAAGCAGTGACAGGGCGACTTGGCCCCATTCGTGTGTGGATGTACGCACCGCACCGGCGTAGGCCGCCTCGAAGACCTCCGGCGCGGCGTAGCGCGGGGAGAAGCCGGCCACCACACTCAGGCGGTTAATCGAATCGTGGCTGTCCACAGGGAGAGAGTGAGGGTGCACAAAGCGGCCTGCGCGTCAGAACGAGCGAGCGAGCGAGCGAGAGGGCGGCGAAGGAGCCGGAAGACCGAGGGCATGGTCCCCGGACGGAGGAGCATGACCAGCAGCCAAAGATCCCCCCAAAGAGGCATTGGCGCAGGGCGCAGGGCGCAGGGAGAAGGAAGCCGGGCGGAGGCGAGAGAGGGAGGGAACGCGTACTTGGTGCGGGCCAGGCCAAAGTCGCAGATGGCCGGCTCGAAGTAGATGACCCGCCTCGGGGCACCATCCGACGCCGGGCCACCGCTGGCCGGGATGGGCATGCGCGATGCCCGGAGCAGAACATTGGCGCTCTTGATGTCCCGGTGGGCGATGCCGACCGAGTGCATGTCGCGCACGGCCAGGCCAATGCGCCCGATGAGGTGGCACACCTCATCGGCCGACAGCAAGCCAGCCGACTCGTAGGCCCCCGGGTGCCGGCGACCGAGCGCGGCGAACAACCCCTCCGGCATGGCCTCCGGCTTGTGCAGGTACGTTTGCAAATCGCTGTCATACAGATGCGTGACAATGGTCCGAGGCCGGGAGGTGAAGCCAATCAGCCGGACCACCGAGTCCTTGAAGGCCAGTGACCACAGCAGGGCCACCTCCTGGCGGAAGCGCTCATTGTTCTGGTGCTCGGACCGGCTGGCCTGCCCGGACACATGCTTGATGGCCACCACCTCGGACCCGGCCCGGGCCACGGCATTGGGATCCAGCAGCCGGCCCCGGTACACGGTGCCGGCGCCGCCCTTGCCGATGGGCTCCAGCTGCTGCAGCTGCTGGGCCCCGTCAACATTCAGCTCCAGGAAGCCCGGCACCGACACCGACTCGCAGGTGTTCAGCACCGTGGCCTCGGAATCCGTGTAGTTGGCGTTGAAGATGGTCGACCGCCGGTGCATCTCCAGCTGCTCGAGCTCCTTCTGCCGGCGGGGGCGCCAGTAGAAGATGTACACACAGAGCAGCAGGATGGCAAGCAGCAGCAGGATCACCACGATCGGCACCGCGATGGACACGGCCCGCCGAGAGGAGCTGATCGGCGTCTGCACCGAGAAGCTCAGGGTGTTGGTGCTTCGGCCGGCCATCGGGTGCACCGCGTGCACCGTCACATCCAGGAAGGCACGCGAGGGGAAGGTCTCGCGGATGAGGACCGTCGGCGAGGTCGTTGTAACCTGGACCAGTGGCGCCGGATTGGCGGCGGCGACCGTGGCGGGCTCACCAGCCGCCAGGGCCACCGACGCGGTGGCATTGAACACCTGGATGAGATACTGCGCCGCGTCCGGGGAGGGCTCCCAGTCGAAGCTGAGCATCTTGCTGGAGATGGACACCTCGCCAATCAGGCCGCCCGGCGGCCGAGGCCGGGTCCAGACAACCGTCTGGAAGATGGGCGACCTGTTGTCGGCTGCCGACCCCTCCGGCGACCCGGCCGCAGGCGAGGAGGAAGTGGACGAAGCCGACGCCACGGCCACCACGCTCGATGACGAGGCCGACCCCGATGCCGGGGAGCCCGGCGCACGCTCAAGGGCCAGGCGCACGAAGATGTCCCGTGCCCCGGACAGATTCTTGATGGTGAAGGAGCTGGGGAAGGTGGCCACCCCGGCGGTGGTGCTGGCCGAGCCGGAGGCCAGCGCCTCGCCGAAGGGCAAGCGCGCCACCTCGGTCAGAACCAAGTTCCCCGGCCGGCCCTGGGAGATGACCACACTGCCGCCGGCCTGCGGCAGGACGTCCGCCTGCATGGTCCAAGACAGGTGCAGGGTGTGGTGCGTGCTCTGGATGTCGACCAGGGCGAAGACCGACCCATCGCCAGCCGGCAGGGGATCCGGCAGGCAAAGCGTCTCCACCGCGGCCGGCAGCCCGGTCTCCGGGTGCAGGTACTGCGGGTCCCAGGTGTTGTTGCCGATACACTTCCGATGGGGCTGGCCGGAAAAGCCGGTTGGACAGACCCCGACGGCCCGGTGCCCGGCCACCGTCTTGGGCAGCGAGACCTCCGACAGGGGATCGACCCCGGCCGGGCAGCTGTGCTCCACACACGGCTGGCCGCCGACATTTTCGAGGTCCCACTCGCCGGTGGCCATACACCGGAGGACCGGGGCACCGTCATGGTTCGGCGGACACTGGCCGGTTACCACCTCCCCGACGTTGGAGCGGGGGAAGGACCCAAGCGCCGATTCATACGGCAAGCAATAGGAAACTGCCGGGATCATGAGGCCGGGACCGAAGGAGGGGTGGGGGACGGAGTGTGTGTGTGTGTGCGTGTGCGTGTGCGTGTGCGTGTCTGTCAGCGGGGAGGACGGCAACAAAGGGAGGCCCAGATCCCATGCTATCGGCAAGTCCCGTCCTGGGTCCTCGCCGCAACTGGAGGCTGGAAAGGATGCGACAATGGGAAAACGGCAAGAGAGAGAGAGGGGGGAGAGAAAGCGGAAAGAGGACGCACTGAGGCACAGGTCGGTGATCGGCCCCCAGCCGGTGGGCATGCAGTAGCGGCTCTTTTCACCGGAGTAGATCCCGGTGCAGGAGATCCTGCGTTCGGCCGAGACAATCTGCTCGGGCCAGTGGCCCTCCTCCGGAAGCGCCTCCGAGGGGATGCACTTGTCGCCTGCGTGGGGGGGGGGGGGGGGGGGGGGGGAGTGACCGGAGAAATGCCGGCCAGCAGGAGAAGCCCAGGGACAGGCGGCACAAACTCGGTAAGCACGGGCACACCACGCGGAGGGACCGGAGGGGAAGGGAGCGAGGACCGGAGGAAACGTACGGACACACGCGCCATCGACCATCGAGTGGGTGGAAGGGCAACTGCAGCCACCATTCGGGGTGCAAATCATGTCCGGGGTGCACACCTCCACCTTCATCCCGATGAAGGTGAAGAAAGAGTCGATGAACCGCATACAGTCCTCCCCATCAACCGGGCGCATATGGACGAGAGTCTATGCATGAAAAGAGGGCGCAATAGGTGAGTGCGGGCTTGATCCCATTCAGCCGGGCTGGCGGCGAGGGAGGGGGGGGGGGGGGGGGTGCAAGAGGTGACACATGGCAAGCGCACCGTTTTGCGCTCATAAAAAACGTCCTTGAAGAAGATGGATGCCAGGGACAGAGGCATGGGCATCACATGGAAGGCGCCGCCCTCACTTTGCACCGCACAAGGGAGGAAAGGAGGCCGACGATGGCACAACGCGAAGCAATGGATGTCCGCCTGGTGAGAAACAAAAAAAAACACCGTCAAAGGGTGTGGGGGCAAAGGGATCCCCAAAGGGAGGTCGTACATTTCGACAGTCTCATGGTAGCCGGGGTAGGTGGTGTGGGCGCCATCGATGGCCGTGACGGCGAAGGCGTGGCAATTGGAGAAATGCATGTTCGCCGAGAAGGTGTTGCTTTTGAGGATGATCATGCGTCAGGTCAGGGGCAGAGAGAGAGCGAGAGAGAGAGAGAGAGAGAGAGAGAGAGAGAGAGCGAGAGAGAGAGAGAGAGAGAGAGCGAGAGAGAGAGAGAGAGAGAGAGAGAGAGGCAGGAGGCGGGGGCGTTGATGTCAAAGGCCGGCTGCCCGGGCTCTGATCCGACGAGGAGGCCATGGGCGTACAAGGTCGAGGGGTCGATGAAGTACTGCGTCGAATAGGGAAGCAGGTAATCCACGTAGTCCGATGTGGGATAGTAGAACAGGGACGTTTCGCGTCCGCACAGGGTATAAGGGCCGATGGACTCCTCAAACTGCATCATTCAACGCAAGCGAGAGCATGTCAGAGCCAAGGCAAGGAAGAGGAGGGGGAGCGGGGGGGGGGGGGGCGAGAAAAAAAACCAGCCCTCCCACCCCGGTCCCCGTGAGGTGCCGGTCCCAGCCAAACACATGTGCGAAAAGATCCGGGAGGACGTACAACGAGCTCCGGCATGGTGAATTGGGCCACCGGGCCACCATTAAAGAGGCTCGAGGCACCCAAGTCAAAACGATAGTACGGGCTCACCGTGGAAGTGTCGAGGTCTGCTTCGTCTTGGAGATCGTGGTACGAGGCCATGTATGGGCCGGAAGTGATGACCAAGAAAAAGTACCTCCGCCAACCATCCTCGCTGAGAGTCACTTTGAATATGTCGGGCGGGGTGACGAGATTGTCCTCCTCGGGAGGCGGCATCAGGGGCAGAGACGGATCGCGAACCACACACCGGGGGTAGGGACTGACATAGTCACTGGCGGCATGGACGGCATCGCCATTGCTGTGGCTGGGCCGGGCAAAGAGGTGATCCATCCGCGGGGAGTAGGCGCTACCGGTAGCGGTGGCGGCGGCGGTGGCGGTGGCGGCGGCGGCGGCGGCGGCGGCGGCGGCGGCGGCGGCGGCGCTGCTGCTGGAGCCCGGCGGGTCGGGGCATGAGCACTTCTTGTAGGGATGCGGCAGGGAAGAGCCGCCCGACGAAGGAGTGGAGGGCTGTGGCGGCGGGGCCAGGCAGCTGGGATCAACATCGAGGCCCTCTACATGATGGCGGTAGTCCGGGGCGATCGGCCGAGCGGTGGCGGGAGCTCGAGCCCGGCGTGCGATCATTTGTCGAGCCGCTTGGATGACCTCCGGCGACCGGAGGAGGGGGGAATCAGACGGCACAGGGGCCGTCTGGACGGTGAACTCCCGCGGCGATGCGGCGGTGCCGGTGGCGATCAGAGCGCAGCAGTACAACGCCAGGGACAGCACCAGCAGGGCATACTGGCGCCGGCGAGGCGCCAAGAGGCCGGCCATGGTACGATGCCTGGGAGCCTGAGACTGGTGGGCAGCGAGAGGAGCAGGCGAGAGGAGCAGGCGAGAGGAGCAGGCGAGAGGAGCAGGGCGTGAGGGGGGGGGGGTGTCGGGGATTGCAAATTGCCAGCCGGAAATAATGGTGACCGGGGGGGCGCGGGCCGGGGGGCCGCCGGGCTGGGCGCCGATAAAGAGCCGGCCAGTGGCCGGCAAGATAGCGAGGGGAAAGGGGGCGCCGCTCGGGCACATGCTCCGGCCCCGGGCTGCCCCGGTTGCCAG